TGTTTTTGTCTTGTCGCTCCGGCCGGACACGGCATCAACAGTATGGTGAGGGGTGTAACATTTCCGTCACACGCTTGAGGTATTCGGCCAATCACAACGCACTGGATAGCTGGCCAATCACAGCACACCTCGCTATTCAGACCGATGAGCTTTGTAAAAATCGACGTGTTTCAGAAAGGCGGGGCATAGCGGAGAAACAATAATGTACAGTATGTGGAAAATAATGTGTTTTTAAACCTTAAACCACATAAACACATTGCATTACACCAAATACACAAAATAATGTTCTTTTTAGCACCGTCATATGACCCCTTTAATATAAAAGACACTTTGCTTGGTGTCGTATAGGTAAAACAATTGTAAAGAAATATTTGAAGCTCAGACATACAATGTCTTTAGCCACTGTATCATATTTCGCTTGTTTTTTTGTTTTTTTTTGCAACATCAGGTTTTGAAAACAATAGCTGAATGTTTAAGCAACAGATCAACTTCTAAAACAGTTCTTGGTCCATGCCAGTTTGTTACACTCTGTCTAGTAGGAGTTGACTGCATTTGTGTCGATCAACACATGACTTCCAAGAACAGTTCACCCAAAAATGAAAATTTGCTGAAAATGTGCTCACCCTCAGTCCATTCAAGATCAGGATGAGTGTGTTTCTTCATCAGATTTGTAGAAATGTAGCACTGCATCAGTGTCTCAGCAATGGATGCTCTGCAGTGAATGGGTGCCGTCAGAATGAGTCCAAACAGCTGATAAAAAACATCACAATAATCCACAAGTAATCCACAGCACTCCAGTCCATCAGTTAACATCTGGAGAAGACAAAAGCTGAAACTAATCCAGCATTAAGACGTTTATAACTCAAATACGAGTCCATAATCCATAATAACACTTCCTCCAGTGAAAAAGTGCATATACTGTTGTCTCTCACATCAAAATCCAGCCACATATTTGTTTAGAGCTGTTTTGTTTTGTAAACGGTGCTTGATCTGTGCAGATTTCTCTCCTGATTCATACCAGAACACTTTTTCACTGGAGGAAGCGTTATTATGGATTATGGACTCTATGGTATTTTAGTTAAACACATTTTAATGCTGGATTTGTTTCAGCTTTTGTCTTCTCCAGATGTTAACTGATGGACTGGAGTGCTGTGGATTACTTGTGGATTATTGTGATGTTTTTATCAGCTGTTTGGACTCTCATTCTGACGGCACCCATTCACTGCAGAGCATCCGTTGCTGAGACACTGATGCAATGCTACATTTCTACAAACCTGATGAAGAAACAAACTCATCCTGATCTTGAATGGACTGAGGGTGAGCACATTTTCAACTTTCATTTTTGGGTGAACTGTTCCTTGCAGTCAAACGATCATCAACTAGTCAAGTTTTTTTTTTTTTCGTATTAAAAATTAGTAGTTGATCAAACCGTATTGACTATCTGGTTTTGAATACAAGAAAACATTGAGTGAATGGTGCCCAAAGATGGATGCATCATCACTCATATATGTGGCTGTGTTGGTTAATTTTGGTGAGATGATGGTGGATTGCACAACGTTGAGATGACTGCACTGGACTTTTTAATGCAAGTGACTATCACAGTTCAGAAGGGCAAGCCTCACTGAAGTGTGAAGACTTCTGAAGGAGAAGCACCACACCGGTCAAGGACAGCGGTGTAAAGACAGGGAGGATGGACCGTTTAAGACAGCGATGAAAGAGGCCATCTATGTGAAAATGGAACGACCGGATTTTAACCAATTGTCCTTATCAGGTTCCTACAGCGCTGTCCTTTCATACCCGGCGGCTTCGGCCCAATTCACACAGCGATTCACACCACAGTACAGCGACTCCCGCAGGAATTCACGAGTCTGATGTGCGATGAGGGTGAATGTCAGGGCATCTCCACCATCAGTTCACAGCTGAGGAGTGAATGAAGGATCTGAGCAGACAAACATGTCCCAGCTCAGGAAGAATAATCCATACTAGACCTTCTTTGACGTCAACAACTCAAAATCCTCACAGACTGAACTTACTGCACAGTACAAAGAAAATCAACAGATCTAACAGAAACCATAAACGGGTCACATCATAAACTTTTTGTCTCTTTTAATTTTTTTCTCCACTCATAATTCTATTTAAAGGCAGCATTCACTATGAATGAATTGCGGCCTCTGAAAGTGTGAATGTCCATGCTGGATTTGCTTTACATGCCCGGTTATTATTGTTCTCATTTATTTGATCATCATCAGCAGATTTACTGCTGCCATGATTACTAGTGCACATAAACTTTTATATATAAATATTTACCTGGGAGGAAAATGTATATTTTAAAGCTCAGAAAAGTCATGCATTTCCAGAGAAACCTTATGTTAACTCACCGTGCCCTCCACTAATATTGGCACCCTTGGTAAATATGAGCAAAGGCGGCTGTGAAAATAAATATGCATTGTTTATCCTTTTGATCTTTCATTCAAAAAATTCACAAAATTCTAACCTATCATTGAAGTAAAACAATGGAAAGTGGAGAGAAAATCTCATTGTGAAATACATGTTTTTCTCCAATGCATGTTGCCCACAATTATTGGCACCCCTAGAAATTATTATGAGTAAACTATCTGTTTAGTATATTCCCAGTCATATTTACATTTTTTAGCACATCGGAGTGACTAGAGCATGAAACTGTCCAGCCATGACTTCTGTTTCACAGGATTATAAATATGAGGAACACAAGGGCAAAATTCTCTTAATCATACATCACAAGGAGTAAAACCAAAGAATATAGTTCTGATGTGCAGAACAAGATCGTTGAGCTTCACAAAATAGAAAGTAGCTGCAAAAAAAAGGAGCTAAAGCGTTGAAAATCCCCATTTCCACCATCAGGGCAATAATTAAGAGTTTACAATCAACTAAAGATGTTACGAATCTGTTTAGGAGAGAATGTGTGTCTATATGAAACAAAAAAAAGAGCTTTTTGTAAGCTAACCCACCAGATGGGTTTAGTACAAACAGGGATAAAACGTATCCCATCCCCACGATTAAATATACTGCTGGATCTTTAATGTTGTGGGCCTGTTTTACTGCCAAGGGTCCTGGACATCTTGTTCAGATGCATAGCTTCATGGATTCTATCAAATACCAACAGATAAAAAGCCTAAACCTGACTGCCTCTGTTAGAAATCTTATAATGGGCCATGATTGGATCTTCCATCAGGACAATAATCCAAAACAAACATGAAAATCAACACAAAAATGGGTCACTGAGCACAAAATGAAGCTTCTGCCATGGCCTGAACCCTATAGAAAAGGAGTGTGGTGAACAGAAGAGAAGAAGCACCAACATGGAGCTGTGCATCTGAAGGATCTGGAGAGATTCTGGATGAAGGAATGCTCTCTGATCTCGTATCAGGTGCTCTCCAAACTCTTCAGGCATTATAGGAGAAAACTCAGAGCTGTTATCTTGGGAAAAGGATGTTGGGTGCCAATATGAACTGGAGAAAGCATTTATTTCACAATGAGATTTTCATCCCATTTTCAATTGTTTTACTTCAATGATAGATTAGAATTTTGTGAATTCTTTGAATGAAAGATCAAAAGGATAAACAATGTAGATTTATTTTCACAGCCGCCTTTGCTCATATTTACCAAGGATGCCAATATTAGTGGAGGGCACTGCTTTCGTTTGCAAAAGTCTTGCGTTTCCCCAAGGAGCTTTGCATTCACTTGCAAAATTATTGTTATGGAAATACCATGATATGGGAAGATAACCATATTTCAAAAGCAACATTTATTGGGGAAAATTAATTTCGCAACAGAATGCAAATGTTTCGCAAAGTTTCTCAGGGGAATGCAAAACTTTTGCAAAAGAACACTGGAATACAATTTCTCCTACCGTTTTATATATTTTAGTCATCACCATGTCCCTTTAAGCCTGGGGTGGGCAACTCTGGCCCTTGAGATCTTCTTTCCTGCAGAGTTTGGCTCTAACCCTAATCAAACACTCCAAGCTAATCAAGGTCTTCAGAATTACTCGTTAGCTACAGGTTAAATTCTGTGTGAAAGTGGATCTCGAGGGCCAGAACTGCCCACCCCTGCCTTATGCCCTCTGTAAATGGATGATAATGCAAACAAAATCTAACAACATGAATCTGGATAATTAGCAGGAAGAAACTGACGGTTCATATGACCCAACAATCAGCTACAAAACTGAAACCTATGACAGGCGGTCTGAGGACTCTGTATTAACATTTAAATGGTGTCTGGCCTCTCCTGAAGCCAGCTAAAATCCCAGCCTTTATGCTGCTGTTCTGAAGCACTCAGGCAAAGATGATAAATTACCTGCAGAAGCCGTGAGGTCTGGGAGCTTGACCCGAAAGATGATGCTGTGCCGAATGGAGCGGCTCCCTTGTAGAGTGCTGTCTCTGAAGCACAGAACCTCCAGCACATCCAGCTGTGAACCCCTGGCATTCACACGCACAAACACACACCACCGTAAGCACACGCGGTCTTTGGAGTGACCTTAAACTTACCATTACAAAGAGACGATGGCTGGAGGAGTCAGTACAGCTGGAGCACTATGACATTTAACACTGAAAGCTGCAAAATGCAGCAGTATTTACAAAATCTTCCACCTGCACTGCATTTCCTAAAAATACATCATATTTTGATGTTTATTTGGTCATGTAAGATTTTTACTGTTTCTTTAACAAAGTATCTTAGGCTCACCAGGGCTGCATTTATATGATCAAAAATACAGAAAAAAAACTGATATTGTGAAGTAGTACAGTTTAAAATAATGTTTTTCTATTTTAATATACTTTAAAATGTAATTGATGTGTCACATGATCTTCAGAACTCATTCTAATATGCTGATTTGCTGCTCGAGAAACATTTCTGATTATTATCAATGTAGAAAACAGTTGTGCTGCACAATATTTTTGGAACCTGTGATACTTTTTCCAGATTATTTAATGAATAAAAAGTTCAAAAGAACAACATTTATTCAAAATGGAAATCTTTTGGGACAATATAAGTCTTTACTGTCACTTTTTATCAATTTAGCACATTATTGTTGAATAAAAGTATTAATTTCTTTCAAAAAAAGAAAGAAAAAAAATGTACTGATCCCAAACTTTTGAACAGTAGTGTATGTTGTTAGAAAAGATTTCTATTTTAAATCATTTTTATCCATCACAAAATCCTGAAAAAAGTATCAGAGGTTACAAAAAAAAATATTGCGCAGCACAACAGTTTCCAACATTGATAATAAATCAGCATATTAGAATGATTTCTGTCAGATTATGATACACTAAAGACTGGAGTAATGATGCTGAAAATACAGCTTTGATCACAGAAATAAATTGCATTTTAAAATATATAAAAATAGAAAAACATTATTTTAAACTGCAATAATATTTCACAATATTCCTGTTTTTTTCTGTATTTTTGCAGCCTTGTCTGAGCAGAAGAAACATTCAATCGATCAAAACACATGAAGTGACTAAGTATGAATAAATCCACAGTTTTTGGATATGGTGCTATGGTAATATGCGTTTTGGACTTGTACTACAGTATTCTTTAAAGTACTTTGGAGTCCCATGGTGCATATGAACATAGTAATCATTCAGTACTGTGATCTAATAAAGTACCATGGTACTATTAACATTGGACATATTGTTTTTAGGTGCTGCCATGGTATTTTCATAAAGGTTTCTTGGCTGCATGGCTAATGAATAAGCAGCATCATGGTACTGTATGGGATTTGAGTGTACACTTATCAAACTGTAATTTAACACCAGTGGGATGTGTGTAGGAAAAGCTCATTGCAGACGTACCATTGTTTTGCGAGGAGGATGAGAACGTTTCTGAGAGGCCAGCCTGGATGTTGAGGAAGCGTGCACGGGTCATACACGCCCACAGTAATCTGCCAAACAAATCAGGACACATGCCACATTATACCCACATACTGTGAAGAATTACATGTAAAGAATATTCTGGGTTCATCATCAAGCACCACAGAACACAAATTCGACTCATTTCACCCAGAGTCTCATTACTAAATATGGCAATCTACAGCATGCCACAAATGTTGTTGACACAACTGAAGTTATGGAATAACCTTCAATATTGCATTAATAATAATAATGCAGCTTTATACTGGAAATTAGGGATGCACCGAAATGAAAATTCTTGGCTGAAGCCGAACAAAATGAAACACAGGGCCGAATAGGTTTTGTTTTTTTACCCATGTAGGCCTATTTTGCCATTTTTTTCACCATTGCATAAATTAAATAGCCAACATGTGCTTTTCACTGTTTTGTCCTCCTTTTCAAATAAAAAAAAAGTATTACAAAACAACAACATTCTAGCAGACATTATACCAACAAAGCACAATTTAACTTAAAATTAATAAGTTAGTAAAATAATATTTTTTGGCCATTTTTGAGACCCCCTTCTTGAATCAGTTATGTATTTCTTACTGTACAAATAAGATACTTCTTTTAAAACATTAGAAAATATTACAGATCCCAGTCTGAACACTATGTGTAAGTGTTATAATAAATGTATTAATAGAGCTGTTGTAATTATTATTATCATTATTATAGTCTTACTTTTTTATTTCAGTTTAACAGTAAAATTACAATACTATCATTTATGAATGTTGATGGAGCTTTTATTTGGGCAGAAACCAGCAGGAAGTCCTCAGTGCTTCTTTTTGTTGACAGCAGCAGATTTATAAATGATTCTCGTTATGAATTTGGGAAGATGTTTGTCGCATGTATCACATGCTTTTAAAAAATTAATAAAAATGTTTCTGAGCAACTGACGAGTAACACTGTTTCAGCGCAGATTTTCCTCGCGGTTTCGACTCTGAACCCAGGCTAACTTGTAATGATTTTTGCAGCTTTCTCAAACACTTTTAAAGGCTTCCACACTGCAGACATTTTTTGCTGCATTAGTGCGCGCCTCTATTTGATCGTGTCACGTCATTGTTTGGTACAATTTACTCTTTTAAGTCTTTTCGCTTATTCGGTTGCCGGACATTCGGTGCATCCTACTGGACATTACCTTCTTTAGGTCTGGGAAGAAGGAGTTCAAGTCTTTTAGAGGAGCGACTTCAACACTTTCTTCTGTGTACTTGAGCAGAAAATGTGGGACTGCCGTCGTTCCACTTGAGACGCAGAGATCATCATATGCCGTTTGCAAGCTTAATATCTGTGAAACAGTGAATCAGTCCACCTCATTAACTCATGAAAGTTCATGCTTGGTTGGAAAATATTCAGGCAAGAACTGAAATGTACTCTCTAACATGTACAGCGGCTCCAAAATCTGGTGTAAAGAAGGATAGTGTGCCATTTAGAGCAATAAGTCAATTGAATCGAGGTGGATTTTGAATTTAGTGAATGCAATGGAAATGAATTTGAAGGGTAATAAAATAACACATCTTCACTTACTAATGACATACTGTACCTTAAATATAAAGAGGAAAATTTCCAAATACGTTTTAGTGACACTGACACTGTATATGGCACGTCACTCATCTTAGAGCATGTATGACATTATGCATTCAAATAATTAACACTGAATTAAAAATTCTAATCAGCACATGCTTTCCATAACGCACTGACTAACGGCTCATTATCCTTCACACAAATCATCCTCGTCAGAAGTGAGTTATCAGCTCTTCTCCGCACCTGTTTGGCAGAGAAGCTGCGCTCTAATGACACCGGCTCCTGCTCCAGCCGGACCCCCTCCAGAAAGCAAAGGGCAGGAAAGCAGAACCAATAATAGAAATGATATTTCTTCAGATCCTGGATAAACAAAAGGACCAGTCAGAAACAATGGCTGAAAGGGCATTCATTTATAAGGACATTCTCTAAAACGCTGGCACACAAACCGCAAATGTCAAGAGGATGAATTTGTTTAATATTGAGGAGTCTTCCAGCGCAGCGCCTGACTGAATAGCGCTCCAAATCTGTGAAGAAGACATCACCACCAGTATTAATTATATGGACATGACCAGAAATGGTTTCTGATATAGTTTATGCAAATGTGAAACATTCTGGGACAAAATCACTAAACACTTGTGGCACTTTTGTGCACAGTATTTCAGTACAAAATCCTAGCATTTCAACTTCCGCCAAACAATGTCGTTCCTTAGAAACGGTTGTGGTTGCAACAAAGTGGTTGCCGAGCAACACACAGATGCAGAAACAAAGAGGTGGATGTTTGTAGAGTAATTTACAACAGCGTCGAACGCGGCTCAACCAATCAGAATCAAGGACCGGAACTATCCGTTTTAATCTTAATTAATGGCTTAGTTTCATCTTTTGTCTTCTCCAGATGTTAACTGATGGACTGGAGTGCTGTGGATTATTGTGATGTTTTTATCAGCTGTTTGGACTCTCATTCTGACGGCACCCATTCACTGCAGAGCATCCATTGCTGAGACACTGATGCAGTGCTACATTTCTACAAATCTTGGACAGCCTGAGGATTATCACATTTTCATAAAAGTTTAATTTCTGCGTGAACTATTCTTAAAACTAAAATAGTAAAAAAAAGAAGAAAATCTTTAACTAATAAAACAAAGTGTGTAATGTTGGATACTTAGGAGAGCCTATTAGATTCCAACGTTGGATAATAAAATTTAAACCTCATGCACTATACAAACTATAAATTATACTATGAGAACATATATACAATATAGTATACTTAATAGTATGTCTTCTGGGACACAAATACCACCATTCTTTTCAGTGCAAATACACTGGGTTTATTTATGTCTGGGCCTTATATGCAAAAGTCTGCTGTTTGGCCACGGCGATTATCATTGTGTTATTACCATTTGCAGAAAGCAGGCAGTCAACGAAACAGTATTAAGAAGATTAAGAATGGCAGCAGTAATTTATCAAATGATGGAGAAGGATGCTCAGCATCCAGATACGCAGTGAAAGAAAGCACATAATTCATTCAGAGGATCTCTGCAGGCAGCAAGAGCAAATAAAATACGCTAGTATCAGCAGGCACAATTAATGAAGAGTGATTAAAAGCGCTGCACCTCATTGGCTGCTTTATCCAGCAGAGCTCTCTTGTCGGTGGTTTTGAAGGCTTCTAGTGTGTTGGTGTTGTACAGAGTCCCAGAGGCTGCACTGCAGCGAGCCGGTGTGGCTCCATCACTGAAACATACACTAAATCATTTGCATTCACTGATGCACTGTATTATTTGTATTGTGTTTTAACATCATAATGTAACCAGTATTGTATAAGATTAGATTTTGCACCAACCAGGATCAGCTAACCATAACAGCTTAACACATTACCGCGCAGAGTAGAACTGGCTTATTGTTTTATACTGTATGCAACATGATAAAAGAAATCAATGTCAATATATAGGTCAGCGACAAATGAGTGTCTAAAGCAAAGGAAAATAATGTTTAAAGGTCTTAGAAATGTAGTCTTTGTAATAAGTTTGGTTATGGTTTTGAAAAACGTTTACACTACTAGTTGTTTAAATGTTTAAATTCAACTCTCAGATTCTTCTTTTTTTTTTTTTTAAACAAATATCATGTTTTTTGGGGGGGGTTGTACCATATGCATTAACCAATGTTGACAGATGTTAACATTAATTTAATGTTCATGTTAACTAATGTGGTAAACTACTAGAGAAATGGAGAAGAAATGGAACCTTGTTTTAAATTAAATTCACCTATATAGTGAATCTGTGTGGCCAGACGTCATAAATGTAAAATTAATTCTACTGAAACGATTCTTGAGGATTTAACTGGCAAGAAAAAAAAATAATAATAATTTCACAAGTAACAGACGTGATATTGGGGCCATTATCCAAGGCTTTCAGAATAACCAGCTGCATTACATGCTCTTAATACAGAAAACGTACACATCAAATGCGCTGAACTCCAGTGTCAAGCGTGTCGGCAAGCCAACAGGATCACCTGCAATTTAGAACAAAACATTTGCATTATATTACAGCTTAAATGTGGCTCAAGTATTCTCTTTCAGCTCTGGGGTTATTAAATGAATCATTGGCATCTAGAACTAAACACTTTTGCATGATGCACCCGTGCTGATGGTGTAAGCAGACAGAAGAGAAGAGAAAATGCCACACATATATATATATAAATATATAGTATTCATATAACATCATATAACATTTGAAGTGGATCAAAACCTTTCATCAGAGTTGTCCTAAAACCTAAACGCGTTCTTATCTTAGGACAACTTTGATGAACTTTTTTGATCCACTTCAAATGTTGACTACTGTAATATATATATATATATATATATATATATACATACAGAAATGAAAATGTATCATTTAAATACAATTTCAGATTATTTGGGAAAATGCCTTAACTTTTGTCTAATCAAAGAACGAATGAAGACATACAGTAGATCTTAAAACTTGAATTACAACATGCAAGTTCAACCACAGCACAATATAATTAAATAAAGACACACAGCGAGACTGAATATACCATCTGATATTACAAAAAACAAATGTGCTTTATTTAGTCTCCAATCATCGACTATAAAGTGACTTTCATTTTCAGGATCTAAGCAATCTGTTCTGACAGAAGCCGAGCACTTAAGAGGCCACTGCTGTCACGTCTCTTTCATTATTACATTCTCCAAGCTCACCGTTATAGTAGTAGCCTTTGATGATTTTTGGGCTCTCGTCTAAGCGGAAGTCGTTGAGCTTCTTCTGTGTGAGCTGATGCCAGAATCCAGCCTCCAGGGCACTGCAGAAGGGGGCGAACTGCAGCTTTAGGGCGGCTGCGCCTCTCTCCGTCCACTCGGCTTCCATCAGGACCGATGCTTCTGATTCCTAATGACACAGAAAACAAGAGCAAACCATGCCCAGAGAGACTATATGAGACCAGTTTATTCAGCCACTGAGTATTTGTATCGAACCTTTAACATCATAAAGGTGCTATAAATGCAAATATTTTGCCTTGAAAAAAATATAACAACAATAATAACAATGTTTCAATTTTTCAAAACAAGATTATAATTTACAGTGACAGCTAGCCAAGAGATATTTTCATTTTTGATAAATCAAAATAAAATAACAAAATAAGTACAATATTTTTAAACAAGTCAAATGTACTCTTAAAGATACATTCCTCAATGCTGATAGCCTGATAAAATGTTCTTATAATAACGCATACATTTCTTGTTCGATTCGGTTTGTGGAAGTTGGTTAGAGTTCCCTTTTCTCACTCCAACAAGCTTGGATGTCAACATTAATAAGAAACTAATATTGTACTAAGCTGACAAAACATCTGTACAACTAATTACGTCTCGTCAACGTAATTAAAGTAAAAAACTGCGCTCTTTAGTATTGTGATTTTAGTAATACTGCTTCGGTAAAAGCACCGAGTCTCTGTCACTTGTTTTTTAAACACACTGCAGTCAGAAGCATCACGGTGGAAATGTAATGTGTGTTAATTACAGTCCTGTAAATGACAAACAGAGAGTCAGAGCAACAATAAACACACATGTCAGAAACATCACTTACCAGACGAGCGCTTCCTGGTTGAGGTCATGTGACCACTGTCAGCGTGCACGCATGCGCAGTCGGTTTGTTTTGGTTTCGTAGCAGAGCTAACGCTTCACAAATTACTTTAAAAGTACTTTAATAAGAAACAGGTACCGACAGAATGGAAGCCAGCCGTGGTGGCGTTTTCGCTGGTGCTACAACTGGTTGATGCTTAACATGTACTATTTTGACATCTTAAAAAACGCTTTCTAATCTGAGTCGGCGTTAGCATACACGCTTTTCTGCTAAATGCTTTGAAGCATCATATCATCCCGCTGAGGAAATGTTGTCAAATAACGTTAACCAGTCGCTTAAACGGTATAGATGGGTGTCAAATCCTCTTGTGCTGCGTTAGTGTCCAAAAAACAAACGCCTTAGGGTGCCAAAACCATCGAATAAAAGACAAAAACCCAAAACAAAAGGAAAACACAAACTAATAGACAAGAGAATACTGACAAAAACTTATAAACGCTGTTCCTTTTCATTGTAACCGTGTTAATGAATCAGTTAATGTGTCGGGTTCCGTGCAAAGCAGAAGGGCGATAGTGAACTAGCCAGAAAATCCAGACTGATATATATATATATATACTGTTTCAGCATGACACCTTTACAACAGCTCTAACTGAGCTCCTGAGTCAGTCGAGATGAGCAGCATTCCTTCAGCTGGGACGTCCTGCATGCACAACCGAGGTCTTTTATCAAGCCTCACAAAATAGGCTATGCATACAAATCTATCCTTTTAAATCGTGCTTAGAGTAATACATTTGCAATGGAAGACTATCAGTCAGGCATCACAAATAAACAATAAAAATATGAAACTGTAGGTGTGTCAAAGTGTATGCATAACTTATAAACACTTAACATGTTACCATGCAAACCATGCTATGTCTAATTGTTCAGCTCTAAATATTCCATCATGCTCGTGATAACAAACCTGGCAACTATCCCATGATATCTGCACAATTATACCAGAAAGGCACGTGATGTATCCGGTAAAGCAACAGGCATTGCATTAATAATGCATAAACACAAGTTAATCTACCTAAAGTATTCACTTACAAATGACAATTTTGATAACTTTACAGATCAAATAACACATTTGACTGAATGCATGTACATGCTTCGGTAAAAATGTCTGATATTTCTGCGTTTGGTACATTTTCCCCTTTGGCCTCTAATGCATGTGCCTTATTGTATAACACTGTTCAACATTTTGTTTTCACTAACTTTTAATCAAAATGATCAGTATGCCACAAATACGGCTCAGGCTTTTAGAGAGGGTTTCTGTGGCTCTTAAAAAGTCAGCATTCATCCTTCCGCAGTTTGAGGCCTTTAAAATATTCTAAATCAGAGCAGAAATTCATACTTTTAAATTCTTATATTCAAGTTATGGCACAAAATGTTGCAAAAAATTATTTAAAAAATAAAAAATCTTCCTCAGCATTTTTGTTTTCCAATGCAAACATCCTTAAATCTAAAATACGTTTACAGAAGTAAAATTATGTTTTAAAAATTGAAAAATGTGAAAAAAATGAAAAATGAAGAACATCACTTTTTTACAGTGTTCAGAAGATATTTCCATATAGAGCTATTCAAGCCTTAAACTATTTATTTATCTATGTATGTATGTATTTATTTGTATGCAAAAAAAAAAATGAATCAACACTCTTACATTTACCTCCTGCAGAAACCCTGTTAGAGTAATAAATGAAGAGTATTTAACATCAAAACCATGTTATAGTTGTCAAGTAAGCCAGTTTTCAAAATGTGAGTCATCTTTACTTACATGTTAATTTGACACTGAATAGGTTCAGTTGATATGAATTGAATTTATATGAAATAGTTCCTGCTTTCTTTTTAAAATGTCAAAGCCATTCTGAAGATGCTTGATTATCATACACCCAGAATTTCAATGTTCAACTGAAGCTGTTTGCATGTAGCACCTTCCAGCTCTCTGCGGACATTGTGCATTCGCTTGTAACCAAACTCATATTTGTGTTCAGTTGATAGGAATTACATTTACATTAAATAGTTCCTCATTTCCCATTTACTGTAGACTTTCTACAGGTCCATCACAAAGACAGCACTGAATGCAGCATCGGAAATGCTGAAATTACAGGACATTCGCCAAAGCATCTCAGTTTATTTTAAGAAAACCATTTAATTGAGTCTGGTTATAGCAAGAATGGCACTTTTGTTCCAGCAATCACATGGTTTCATAGAAAGTGACAGGCACTAATTGAGAGCTAACAATGCAAACTCTTAGAAGAAAACGAGAATTGATCGGGACTAAGCACTGCACTGCATTAGTATTATATATATTATAATTGCTTTCCCACAACTTGAAGTCTTTATAGTCCATTTCATCGTCACCTCATCGCTGCACAGGCATGTAAAATACAGTATGTGTGGAATGCATACAAGCATTCTGCCATATGTTGTTTAATGCATGTATTGTATATGACATAGAGGCGGTAAGAAACGACATCTTTAATCTTCACGTGACCTCAGTGTTACATTGTCCAGTTAATATCTGCGTCCGAAAGCCATACAGACGTAGGAAGGCAACAAGGAACATTCGAATCCAATGATCGTGTCACTTTCTGTGTTTTGATGAATCCTTCACTGCCTATAATATCCTATAATAAAAGATGGCATATGAAAGTTATGGTTGGTGCCCATTTTGTGTGTTTTTGACCAACTTTTTCCACTTTTGATGTTATTTCAAGCAAGTAATTAAATATTTGCTTAGTTATCACCAAAGCTTTCTTTATTATATTGTAGATTACTCCACCTTCATGCTGCCTCAGAAATCTGTCTAAAGTCATTTCTGTGAAGTGCCTTCAAATGCAAACACTGCCTGCAAAGTTATTGCCTGATAAGCAACGAACCAGCTGCCTAAGCTTTCAGACGCAGCCATTATGTCTAAAATGTTTTAAAGATGTAATTATTTGTTTTAATGTTTTAACGAGTTGCATTAGATGTTACAGTTTATATCAGTTTTATTCAAATCATCATTTTTATTGTTAAAAACAACGATCAGGTGAAATGCATTGCATTGCAAATCATCCAGGAGCTCCATGTATACAGACAATTTGTGCATAGTATGCATACACCACTGCTTTCTTTTTAAAATTTCAAGGCCATTCTGAACATGCTTGATTATCATACACCCAGAATTTCGATGTTCAACTGAAGCTGTTTGCATGTAGCATCTTCCAGCTCTCTGCAGACAGTTTTGACCAAACTAATATTTGATTAAACCGCCTGTAAAATATATATGCACCACACCTGCTATTTAAACATAATCGAATGCAGAGGGCATTAAACACACCAAACCAAAGCTGTACTGACTGTACATCACCCTCAATAGCAAAGTTTCACGAATTATTATTTTAGTGTTGTTTAATTTAAAAGTAAGTTGCTACTATACCATGATTACATCAGATCTACTGAAGCAGCAGCATAAGTGCTCAGTTTCAAAACACTCTGAATAAATTCATCATATAATCTGATGCAGACTGCAGACGTGTCAAACTGACATTCAGCAATAAATAATAAAACTAAATAAATTAAAAAAGCCAAAAAATAACACCAGCATGGCAGATGCACAGAACTGCAAACGTGTCACAAGAAACTCTTCAGAAAAGACCAATGAGCAGGTGTGCTAACAGTTTTTCACCTCTCCTGAACTTTATCTATCGATATGAAATATCTTTTTGAACACCCTTTTGAAGTTCTCATTGCACAGCGGGTAAATGAAGGGATTCAAGGTGGAGTTGATGATCATATAATCTGATGCAGATTGCAGACGTGTCAAACTGACATTCAGCAATAAATAATAAAACTAAATAAATAAAAAAAGCCAAAAAATAACACCAGCATGGCAGATGCACAGAACTGCAAACGTGTCACAAGAAACGCTTCAGAAAACACCAATTTAGCAGGTGTGCTAACAGTTTTTCACCTCTCCTGAACTTTATCTATCGATATGAAATATCTTTTTGAACACCCTTTTGAAGTTCTCATTGCACAGCGGGTAAATGAAGGGATTCAAGGTGGAGTTGATGTACCCTAGCCAAATTGTGAACATGTGAAGGTCATGATGCACACAGGTCTCACACAAGGCCGTGACCATGAAGGTGATGAAGTACGGGATCCAGCACACCATAAAGACACTAATGATGAAGCCAAGCTGCCTGGCGGCTTTCCGCTCCTTCCGGATGCGCATGCTGTGGATGCTCTGCTTGGACTGTTCGCAGAGCTTCTGCCACGTTTGTTTGGCGGGGAGCGTGTTGGTGGCGTCCAGCGGAGGGCTGTTCTCAGCCCAGGGCGACGGCGGATCGCTGTGATTGCTGAGAACCGTGGCGTAATTGTGAATATCCACAGTCGGTGCGCTCTCACACATGTTGCCAACAGAGTTGGGCACTAACACTTTACAATCGTTCGCATTCATAAACGGTTTGGGCTGAGCGTTGTTCTCGGACTGCAGGAAGGCGAGAGATAACGGTGGGCCTTCTGCGACGGTTTCCCCGTCGTCACTCTGAAACGAAACCTCGTTGGAGTCTTGCACGCTCTTTCTCCTGCGTTTCGAAAGACTAAACATTGCTTTGGCCTTGTAACAACTCTTCCTCTTTGTCTCGGAGGTAGC